CGCGTAAAATTTGTATGTTTCTGGGCCATTTAAATAAATCATAAAGGCCATTAGACCACCCTTGTCTGCATTCAAAATAAATATAGCATTTTGGTGCTAATATCTATAGAAAACCTAGTCAAGTAATAAAATATTTTTTAAATAATTGCTTGACCAAAATGAAGAATCACTTCTTTTTTTATAATATTCTTGACCTCCTCTGGCAGGTGGCTGTAAATATAATGGTTCCCACTTTTTGGAAGCGCAAAGTTTAGACCTCTTTCTCGAGGAAAATTCACATTATTTTCTATAAGTATATTGGGTATATTAATGACCTTGTTTTTGCTAGAACAAGTAGTATCAGTTTATTCAATTTTCCTTAATTTTATTTAAACGCCTAAATTCACGTATTTCTTATAATTTTTGTATTTATAAATTGTATCCATTCTCTCCGCCAGACCGCCTACCATATTCTTTAGTTTAAATAAATCTCCTTGAAGAAACAGCATATAAAGTGTTTGTGTAAGCCTAGTTTTAGTTTTAACTAGGTCATGAAATTTGTCTATACATTCTCTTAGTCTAGTCTGAATTAAGCCACTCGATACCTGTTCCATTTCCTTATTGGTAATTGCGGGTGGTTTTGTGATCATTAAACTTTAATAATCGAGAACAGATCTTTGATCGATAACTGCTGGTTTCGTGCATATACGAACACATAAAGGCATTGAGACGCACAAATAAGCACACCCACATGCTTCAAGAATGGCATATAATTGAAACTAACCAAACCACTTTATAGCTCATCAATAAGCATAGATATAGGGTATGCATAAAGAATTTATTAATAAGCCGGTAAGTTTCCTTGATTCTTTTGCTTGAATATGGTTGCAAGAATAATATTCTGCCCTGATTATCTCCGACATATAATGGACGAAAGCTTAGCACAGTAGTCATTTGACCTTGTTTTCGCAACTTAATCATTTTATAGGAAGATCTAGAGGAACACACCCTGTCCGGAGTCCATAGTATGCACGATAATTTCCAGAGTCGGACCGTGGACTTGGTACATTCCAAGTTGTTTCGCCGACATCGTCAATGAGTCTTGCCACACTCAACACCAAACTACACCTCGTCAGACCGGCGAGTAAAGTCAATCCCTTGACCAACTTTATACCGAAACGGTTGTGCTATCACTCCTCTTTCCGTTCTGGCCCCTCTATCCATTTCCTACCCTCTTTTGGCAAATTATCATCACATCTGTCGCTTGGCCTGCTTCCCATCCTTTCAATTGGCTGATCCGACTCGGGCCTCCTTTCCGGATCTACCTCGTGGGCCCGCAGATTCGTTTCTTATCTTTCTGGTTGGCCGACTTCACTCGGTTCCAGCCCCAATGTGCATTTTACTCCAAGCGCTATTTCTCAAGCCTCCAATGGCACATACAATGTCGCATCATTTGAAGAGCGCCTAGGCTTTCATTCCCATGCTTTGGGGAGAAAAATTTAATGAATATGGGATTGGAAGAAGGCAGAATAGTACTAAATTTGCCTAGTTCCTAATCAAACTCCTAGAAAACAGGGATATAACATGACAATCAAAAAGGAGACGCCTGGATCAAGGATCTATCCTAAACCAGAGGATAATGGATCGCAAGGAAGAAGAGGCTGTGGAAGTTTCTGAACTAAAGCGAAGTCGTTCTCAGTGAATGTAGTTTGCTCGAAGAAACAACTACAACTTTAAGAGTCTGACGTTTACGCGACTAGGGAGAGGGATTGGGTCACGGCAATTGGGTATTATGACCAAATTGACTAATAATCTACTCAATATGCAGCAGACGACCAGAGATTGATGCCCACCGTTTGCTCAGGGTTCACGAGTTTTATCACGGAGATGATGCGTGAAAGCAATGCCTAATATCCGTAAGTATAGGATTGAGAGCAATATTGTACGTGCCACTGGAGGCTTGAGCAATATCGCCCGGAGTAAAAAGTACACTGGGGCTAGAACCGAGTGAAATCGGTCAACCAGAACGATATGGAACGGATCTATGGGCCCATGAGGCAGATCCGGACAGGAGGCCCGAGTTGGTTCAGCCACTCGAAAGGGTGTGGGGCAGGGCAAGTGGCAGGTGTGATGATGCCACGGTAAATTTGTCAAAAGAGCCTACCTTTTGTGGAATATAAACATGTCAGAAGGACGAGGGCGAGACAAGAGGGTGGGAAATGGATAGAGGGGCCAGGATAGAAAGCGGAGTGATGGCACAATCGTTTCGGGATAAAGTTGGTCAAGGAATTGACTTTACTCGTCTGACGAGTTATAGTTTGGTGCTGAGAATGGCAAGACTCATTGAGGATGTCGGCGAATGTACCAAGCCCACGGTCCGACTTTGGAAATTATCATGCATACTATGGACTCCGGACAAGGCGCATTCCTCTAGATCCTCCTACCAATATGACCAAGTCGGAAAAACAAGGTAAAATGACTAGTAAATACCGAAAGGCGACCACGAACAAAATAGAGGCCACAACCTCTTGGGCTACGAAAGCTTAGCATCTTTTCACCGGTATCGAATACGATTGCCTTTGACACAGCCTTAAAAAGAATGTTTAAATAAAGCCAACCGATAGCATGCAAAGAGGGATATGCCAGCGCCTTCTGATGGTATTGACTTTTGAATATCTTAACTACACATTTTCACTCGAAATAGGGTTGAGCTAGGCAGTTATAAACCAATGCAGTCCTCGAAACCCACTTCACATATTCTTCAATCATTAGTTCTGACCACTTTATATACTTATTTTTTACGTTTACTTATTTCATTTAGGTAGTATAGTTAATTTGCTTGTAATAAATTATACTATCGATGATTTATATGATTATTAATTTTATCCAATATCATCTTTGATTGGATGATAATACATTTTGGGAAGCAAGGCCATGTGAAATTCAATGGTAAGGGCTACTCGTGTGGTTGTGGGAATAATTGACTACCATTATTTCATAACCTTAAACGAATTAAGGTGATTAAGGATTTAATATCAAATCTACTGAAGGTCTCGACAATCTATGAAACGAAGAATGACATATTTGCGCATTTTTACACTACTATGGCAGCGTGAGACAAGAAGATTTGTCTTTTTAAAAACAAAACTTACTATAATCAGGTATTTGCAAATAATAAAAACGATCCTTATGATGATGTCTAGTTAGCTTAAATAGTACAAATCTGTATTCGGAATAGCGTTGGTTCGACCTTCTTTTCGCAATTGGTCAAAGAGTCAAGGAGACCTTGTGAAACGTACCTAGCCCTGTGTCCTCTGCCATTGCATTCGTGATTTTTAGCAATGGACCATTGACTCGGTACATTCCAAAACGTTTCCCTGGCATCGCCAATAAGAGGTGCTATTCTCAGCACAGAGTTACGGCTTTTCAAAGTAGCAAGTGAAGGCAATCCCCTCAAACAATTTTCAGTTCAACCGTTGTGCTTCACTCCTCGCCCCTATTTTTTTGTTCTACCTTCTAGTGCCGCATCTCTTTATCTCAAACCCACTTCATATGGCCCTTACACTTATTCACATAATTCTGTACTCTCATTTCCTCCAATGTCGCCTAAGCGTGTGTCGCTACAAGTGGGTTTAGTGAGGCCTAATCATTTCCAATATCGGTACCTGATGCCTTTTGCAGAGCTCCTGACCCTTATGTAATTGGCCGCTGCTAAACATCAAAAATCACTGTTTGGCCCTCTGAAATCTGACTGCCTAAGAACCATCAAATCCCGTCCTCGATTACACCATATTCGATAATTACTTACAATGGCTCCTCTCACTAACGATGCCGACGAAACGTTTGGGAATGTACCCATCCAATGGACCACTTCTGGAATTCACGAATACTATGTCAGAGGACCCGGGAGTATGTACTTTCCACAAGGTCTCCCTGACACTCCGACCAAGTTGCGAAAACAAGGTCGAACCAACACTATAAAGCTAAAGGAGACTGTGACCAAGCAGAAGGCACATCATCTCGGTCTTCATATGTACAATCTGGATTCGGAATGTTCGTCCTGTGCAATTAACAATTGTCTCTTATACGAAAAAGGTTTACTACGAATATGTTTACTATTGCCTTTACCTTGTGCATATCATAATTCCTATAAAAATTCTTTGAACATTTGCTCATTACTTAGAGTGTTCATCAATGTCATCTAATGACAAATCTAGGACCACAATAGTAGACCTAATTATATTATTTTTATAACGGTATTTTGGGATAGTAAGGCTATCCTGATGCAATTAATTAATTTTTTCTCTTTCCTCAATTGCCTTTCTACAGAATGACTCAGCATCCTCTGGCTTCTTAAACGGAGATAGCATGCCGCAGCACACATTTCATGTGCACCACGGGGTCCATCAGCAACTGCAACATCAAAATGTTGGTTCTATCTCCGTTAGAGCCGGCCAACCATCATCTCTCACCGGGCTCACCACTTCTGGTACTCTCACTTCGCCGCCAGCCAGCCATCTACCGATCGCCAGCACTGGATGGGCCTCTAGTGCAGGAGCCTCATCTGCGTCTTCTGGGATCATCCCTTCCACAAGCGTTTCCTCGGGGCTGCCATCCCTTCAGCCTGCCTTCACATCAAGCTCCTCCTCTACAGCTGTCTCAACACCACTTCAAACTACTTGCAACGACACGCTGGCTGGTGAAGGAGCTTTGCACGCATCAATTTCACCTGTTTCTGAACAGCTCCGCGCGGCGCGTGTGCAGATCTCGCGGCTTGAACAGGAGTTACGTGCATTTCGTATCCAAGCGGCATCCATAGCGGAGAACTCTGAAGCTCGGAGTCCCTTAGAAACGGTATCCCAGACAACTCGCTCTAAAGGGGCTATTGGTCAAGTTAGTGCGATTTTATGCTGTCTATTAAATGAGTGTGCTAATTTCGATCTTAGTGTGAGGATAGCTGAACCCAAAAATGTATTGGCAAAATGAGATCTGCGCATTTCTTATCCAGTTGATCAGCATTTTCGTGGAGACAGGCTTCCTTCGCAATTTAACGAATTCTTCATGATTCAGCCTCTGCGTGACGAATCTGATAATGCGCATTTTTTCTACCATACCTATTTTATGTTTATCTTTCTCACTTTCGCCTCCACTTTTCTCTCACCATGTTACAAATCTCGATTTATTAGTTTTGCATTTATGAATCTAATGAACACTTCGTTATCATTCCTTTAAGAGTATATTCTCATTTTCCTCTTATTCAAGATAGGGAAATAATAAGAGCTTTCTTGTGCAGCCTCGATGTTATTGGTTATACAAATTATAAAGGTTCTTTACATTTTAAGATTTATTATTCCAACCAAATCTGGATAAGTGACTCTATTAAACATTTCAGGCAAGAATGCATGGGGGAATATGCATCTACCGTGAGAGTGTTGGCTCTAACTTCCGTCGAGTTGCGTTAGGTTCCTAAAAAGTGCTTTAATTTACACCCAAATATCGTTTATTCAATTTGTTTAGTATCTCTGTAATTCCCGGTTGGAATCCAGAAAATGAATGTTTCTCTAGCTCACTATTTTTTTACAATATGTAGGCATAACCATACAAATTGGATCCCTACTTTCGTATACTCGTTAGAAAGAGGACATAGAGGCATATATAGGATTTTCTAAAAACATAAACTCCCTATCTCGTCTTAAGTAGTTTTTGTCAAAAATTGTATTCACCATTTAACTCATATTATTTTGACTCAAGTTAGAAGCCCAACTGGTATCAAGTAATGATGTATTTTAAATAAAAATGCTTCCAAATTTAACATATTTTTGGGGAGAATGAATAAGCGAAATTAAATGGCATAGTGAGGCCTACTCTGATTATTATATGAGAATTCTTCCATCAGTTCTTGAATCACTATAAGCGATCACATGTAGTGACTGACTTCTAATTA